GTAAAGTGTGAAGTGATGCAGTTTCTTCTGTCTTTCATTTAAAATGCTCCTTGGTAAACAGTGTTGCAGATTAGTGTATTTGTAATTTAAATGAAGATAATACATCAAAGCCGAATCCAAAAAGAAAAGAGTTTAGGAAATGGTTCATCCCCTCCCTTTGTATGTGACCTACTGTAGAAAATAAATAAATGAGAAGGAGGGGAAAAGGTTGTGGATTTTCAGAGAAAAAATTGAACTATTTCTGAGCCAGAGTCAATCCCAATAGCTAAATCTTTGTTTTCTTCAAGCGCACTAATAAATTCCGCCTGATTCATTTTTTATTTTCTCTCGGGGTCTGCTTGCAGATTTGCTTCAACAAAGGAAGCATCATGTTACATCCTTTAAATAATTGATGGTTTTCGGTCCAAGCCGGCTTGAAGGAAATTCTGAAAATAGGTCCTGATTGAGCAGTGTCTCTGCAGCCTGCCCTCTTCAGCACCCCCTGCTCGCCTCTCGCTCAGGAAAACTTGCTTCCTCCTCCGGCTTTCCTTGTCTTGCCTCTTTGCTGGAACAAGGTGCCGCTCTTCTTTGGGTTTAGCTTTTGCCTAATACTTGCTCTCCCTCTTGCATTCCGCCCTGTTCCATTTACTTTATTAAAGACAGAGGGAGCTGTTCGTGTAAGTGGGCTGATGTAACGGAGGGCTCTTAATTAATCTGTCCAAACAGTACACCGGGATCACCGTCAGCGATGGTTTCTTGGGCCCAGGCACGACTGGGTGGCGATATTGTTCCTGTTGATGTGCAATGGGCTGTCATCACCCAGGGAGCAGAGTCAGCTGCCACTCTGCCCACTGCCAGCTGCTCCTGCAGGTTCCAGTACTGTGAGGTGATCTGGTTTCCCTCCAAGAGGAGATTTTCCATCTCAGTGCACCATGGGTCTCACTGGCCATCTTCTAAGACTTGAAAAAGCTATTACTGCTTCCGGCTAGCTGTGGTTGGTAGAGTATTCAGCTGGTCTGCCATTGTTTGCGGTGGTCATGACTCTGCGTTGCGATTTCTTCCAGGACCTCTTTTCCTGCTTCATAAAACAAGGGTACTGGGGTGCATCACACCCAAGGTCCCCATCACCAGTGATCTTCCATCTCCCGGGAATGGTGTGAAGGTCTCAGGAAAAGCTGCACCCAGGTGACTTTCGGTGCATTCCCAGTGTTGTGAGTTTGTCTAGATGAAAGCCAAAAGTTTCCTCTTCATCATCATCCCCGTTTCTTTCCATTATTTCTCTTAATCATTCACTTATTTCCTTTGTTTTCTCTACCCCTTTCCTTTCCCTTCCTAAGGGCTAAAGTGGATGGAGAACAATTGGCCAAGTATTAAATTCAAGAATCTCGGTCGACTCAATAAACAAAACACTCATTTTTAGAATGTCCTGTCCTCCCAGAAAGGCTTTCTCTAAGATTCGCTAATTGCAACAGGAAGTAACCAATATTATTGAATTTGGGAAGTGGTGAATATTGGGAGGGCTAAATCTGGAATTCTGACGCTGCGATTCATCACGGACAAAGCTGTGGCTGAACGGGTGGGTTAGTGTAGTCCACTCTCAAAGCTGTCACATGTTCCGACCCGTTCTTCCTTTCCAGGGGCATCATGTAGATTAAGTCACTCTGCTCTTTCCCTAATTAGGTTGAGCTTGGGTGGGAGTGGGACTGAAGCTGTGTTTGTTCCTTGTCTTCCCAGCAACCCAAGGAAGATCATTTGTATAAACTGCTTGCCCAGAATAAGCTTTCCTGATTGCTCTTCTCAAAACCCACAGCCCCCAAAATCTGCAGATCAAACCAATTTAGACCAACACCAAAGGGGTCCAGGCGGGTGAAGGAGTTCTTCTGATTGTCTTTAATGACCTGACTGTATACTAAGGTCATCTTTAGAAAGATCCAAGGAATTATTTTGCTTCTCCTTTTTAAATTTTTATGTTTACTGTCCATTTATTTTTGCAAGTGTTATGCACCGCAGGCTTTTGTATCTGTGCGTAAGGAGACTACGAGTAACTCCTCCCAGTAAAATATACTCCTAAATTTTTGGAATTAAAAATGTGCTTTTCCCCAAGGACAGCTGTGTTGTTTACGATTGAGTTCCAATGAATGCCACTGTGCCTCAGAGAATCATGTGCTAAGTGGCTTCCTTCTATTGGAATGTCCAAACTTACACCAGCTCAAGACTGGAAGGACAGATCTTTCTCCCTCTGGAGGTAGAGAATTCACTCTCCTTTTGAGGTGGTAGTGGTGACAGAGATGGTGTAGGGAATGCGTAAGTCCTGTCGCCTTAGTGTCAGCAACTTTGTGGGTGAAGAGACATTGGAGCTGTCGTCATCTACTGTAAAAATATTCTGTGCAATAAGGAAGGGAATCCAGAGACTTCTTTCCCCACGCATCTTACCTCACAGTCTTCCTGTGCACCCTGTCCCAGTGAGATCTGTGGAGAAGGTGCCTCCTGCATTGTGAAAAGCAAAATCCAGGTGACTGCACCTGGCAGTTCTTACTCCTGGAATTAATAAATGTATTTGTTGTCAGTTTATCTGTCCAAACTCAGTAATTACCTGGGTCTAGGTCCAGGGATGGTGAACCTATGGCATGCATGTTGCTTGTTTTTCTTTTAAGACAAATTCTAATGTATGAGTTGGTTGTTTTTTTTTTTTTTTTTTTTTTTTTTTTTTTTATACACAAGCTAAAACCTCAGCATTCGAGTTTAACTGCAGCATTGGTACTTTGCAATAGTGATGGGAGTTTTGGGCTGCAGTTGGGCGCTCGTGTCTAAAAGATTCACCATCATGGGTCTAGGTAATTTCCTATTTATAAAACAGTCATGACCCTGTCTATATTTTACACTTAGTTTTCAGAATTCAGGATCTTTGTACTCAGGGGAAAGATAGATAAACGGGAGTGAGTTTTCCAGCTTACCCACAAAAACCTTCTAGACTGTACTATGACTGACTCCCCGAGACTGTTTATTGAGCGTCCCCCTCCGCCTTCAGTAAAGGATCCCCAGTGCTGAGTAAGGAATATTCCAGGTGGGTTGGTTGGGGATAAGCCTGGGAAACTGCGTACTGCAGTGTGAGACTAACCCTAACCTCACACCGGCTTCCACTTCTCTAGCGTCTTCTCCCACCTAAGGACCCTAACTCGCCCAAGTTAAACACCTCTGCTCAGAGAGCTGGCATGCATGGTTCCAAATGTCACTATTGCGATTCCTGTGTTATTTTGTATATTCATCAATTTCAGAGCTAGAGTTTGGCGAGTGATATGTTTTCAGTGTTATGTGTACTGCGGTCATGTTAGTCAAGGGCATTGGCTTCATGATCTGACGGTAACATCACTGTGGAAATCCACACCCGCAAGACTTGTGTTGACCTGTGTCCCTCTAGACACCCCAAATCCTAAGCCTTCTTATAAAAATAAATAACAACCTAACTTGTTTTCCCTCGGCCTCTAACCATAGAATACCAAATGAGTGGGTTCTCTCCTGATGCTGCTTTAAACTCATAGAGATTGCGGCTTCTGCCTGACAGTCCTCCTGTGTTCACAACCCTAGGAAGTAAATAAATAGGATTGGGTTCTCTCATCCCACTCACCTGGCCACTCATCCCACTCATTCAGGGGAATTCCGGAAACAACCTCTGTACTTACCTGCAAAACACACTCCTTTCTCTCTCTGATTCTACACCCTATTAAACCCCAGCGGACATTAGAAGCCTCCTCCCTCGTCTCTAGACTCAGCTGGTCTTCACCTCTCATTCAATGGAAGGATTTACTTCAAAACCCTCCCCTTGTTTACTAGGACCTGGATCATTTCTCTTTAGCATTAAAGAAAACGATCAAAACATGATTTCGGTTACTTTTGGTAGCTTTTGGGTGTTAAGAGAAAATTGGATCCAAAACTTTGCTCTTGATGATTTGTCAAGCATTTTGCTTTTAACTCTCCTCTTGGAAGCAGAGAGGGGAAACCACGGCTTGAGGGTGCCCTGGTGAGTAGATTGTAGAGCCCCCCTCCCCATCCAGGCCTGGGTGCCTTTTAGTGACCACACAGGCATCCTTGTTCCCCAAAGCCAGGGCCATACCCGTATCCTCAGGAGTGTGATGGAAAATGGCCTGGTGCGGCCTGGCTAATTCATTCCCCAACATTTTTTAGATAATGAATATCAGCAGATCCTTCACCAAAGGAACTGTAAGGGGCCCTCCAAGGACTGTTATTCCCAGTCCTCCTGAAGCTGCAACTTCAGCATTCAGCTGCCTTAGGGTCCCAGGGTTCCGGGAGCTCACCTGGCTGCTCGCAATGGCCCCTTTAGAGCAGGGTAAAGATTTGGGAAGTATCCCGATAAATTATATAGGATTGCCAGTTTTATAAATCGAAATTGGTAAAATATTGGCAATTTCACGAGACTGATAACAAAATTTTCCTTTTGTAGCAAACACTCTGCCTGAAGGGCGTACATGTGTGGCTAAAACCCACGATGCAGTTGTTTGAAACAGAATCTGAATTATCAAGAAAATGCTTTTCTATCCATTGTCATTTGTCTTTTGTTTTAAGGATTGGAGAAATAGGAAACAAACTTCTCAGTTGGAGGAATGAATATACCTTGAGACTGATGTGAAATAAGCAGAAAGTCCATTGGTCTTGGGATATTTATTTTTCCTCTAGAAGTTATAAATGGGTGTTATAATGGGAAATACTTTGAGAGCATTCGCTATAAATAAGAGAGGAGCGGAAGATTAATAAATCAGATAAAGCTGAGAAGGAAGAAAACTTAAAATAAAAATGAGGACTGTGCCTTCGTCGGTGTGGAAATACCGGCCTGGGTGTATATATAGGAAAATCAAAGACTCACTCAGGTCCTAGCCCACTAAGTTGTAGCTATTAATGTGCGTTTAACTCTATTGCTGGGAGATTTGATTCAATGCACTGGCTGAAAAAATTGACCTCGCATTTTTCTTTTCTTCCTTTTTGGGTTGGATCACATACATGAATAGAGCGGACAACTGACCGGTTCATCAGTGAACAATAGTCAGCTATGAAGATGTAAGGGAAAAGTCCTCGGCTAACATTGTCGCAGCTTGAAAGGTAAGCCCTTCTCCACGTGGTTGGGAAACCCATCTAGCATGATGTCGTGTGATGCCCACTGGACTGTGAAATGTCACTGCTATTCCCTGCCACTGTTACCTTGGCCAGTCTTCCATTAGTAACAAACATGAAGAAGTTCTGATGTGTCCCTCACCCTGTCTTTTAAAAGGGAAAGACGTCATTTCGGTCCTCTAAAGGTTGTGTTTTGTGAGCTATCCTGACAGATTGGGCTTTACGGAGTGTGTGTGGCAGTGACCAGGTGGGTCCTTTGGAAAGGTTTTTGCTTGCTGCTATTGATTTGCTGCGTTGATGATAAACTGTGGCAGTCAGGCCAGACTTTCTTACTTCTGACCTTTTGATGATGGGTCAGATCGCTTTCCTCTCCATCCTGTGCTGTGCCTCCCAGAGAAAACACACTCTCTCATGCTAGCTTCTGCGGACTTTGTACGCGTTCTTGCTGCGTTGTTGGTTAGCAGCTGAATGCCCAGTTCTTTCCAAGAGTCTTTGAAGGCTGAGTCTTCTTGATTCATTTTGGAAGGAGTGTCACGGCAGGTCTCCTTTCCTGGGTTACGATCCGTCCCCAGCTGGTTCTCTAGACCCCAGTCCCCGACTAGGATCAGGTGGGACCTTTGGTGGAGAGTGCAGGACTTTTGATTTAACCACTGTGTCCCGAGCGCCTGCCATGGAGAGGACCCCAGTGGTCCCCACCCTGTGGTTCTCTCCACATGCCCTCTGGGTGAGTCACGTTTCCCAAGAACCATCTGTGGACTTCAGCCTCAGTGTGGCAAATGGCGCATGAGAGGTGAAGCCGTCTTTCTCACAGGACCCACGTTGCTTAATTCAAGGTGGAGAATGAATTGGGCAGAAAGAGCTGAGTTTCCGTGTTTGAAGTAGATCAGAGCACATGCAGTGCTCTCTCTGCTTTTCCAGCTCAAACTGTAGAAAAAACCATGGCGTTCTGGCCCCATATACACAGTTATAATTCTGGTACAGCATTTGTTCTTTTTACTTAGCATCGGTTGGGTTGTAAATATTGGTGGTACTTAAATCTACTGCTTACAAAGGACAGGTGTGCCCTGCTCGTGGAAAACCTGGCTCTGCTTCGAATTCATGCTTAGCAGGCCATTGCAGAGGGGCCAGTTATTTGCGCACTAAAAATAGCTTGGCTTCATCAAATAATTTATCACAAGATTCCTTTAAATAACCGGCTCTCTTGGAGCATTTAAAATATGATTTGATTTGAAAAATCAATGGCTCTCTCACTCAACTTTTCAAGAACACATCTGCTTTGGAAGGAGAGACAGGTGAAGGGAGGGTGCCAGCGGCCAGGCATGGGGGGCTTAAGTGAGCTGAAGAGAAATTAATATTAATTTTGAAATGAATTGACTTTTCTAGAGCTTCCCAGGGAAAACACCTTCACCTCTAGCACCTCTCCGGCATGTAAGGAGGGAAAAAAAAGAAAGCAAGCAGTCCCATTTGAGTTCGGAACAGATAAATCTATTTCTTTGGTGGTTCGCATCCTGCATTATGCATGTGCGTAAAAGTGAGTTTTGCTTTGATCCTGACTATTAAAAGTTTATTTTTAAACTCAGACTGGGCAGGCATCCAGCGATGCTCTTTCCCCTGCAACACATCCTGGGTTTCAGGTCCTCAGCCTGGCAGAATGCGACTGAGCAGCAGGAAGTAGCTGAAAAGTGTGGAGACTTGATGGGTGCGAGGGTTTTTTTTCTCTCTTCCTCCCCTCTATTTTTGAAATTCAAATTGAATGCAATTTTCAGCTCATTTGAGCTAGAATATACTGTTGCTGAGCTTCAATGGCTCTTAAATTCAAACTCTCAGGAGAAAACAGATATCATCTGTCACAGGGGTGGGGGAGAGGAGCCTTGCTCTGCATTTTATTCACGGGAGGCAGAACTCCAGCACCTAATTCAGACCTTCCTGACTAATCGCCTAATCATTCACCAGCAAACCTATCAATGAATCAATGAAACCTCTAAGACACCCATCTTAGGAAGTCTGCAAGTTCTTACCCCCTCTTGCTTTCTAAACAAATTGTTCAAGTCTATTTTTGTATCATTGGTATTTTAATACTCTTTTTTTTTTGCAAACTGAGATGGAATATCTTTTTTCTGCCCTTCCTGACTATTTTTATTGTTCCCATCTTTAATGTCTTTGTCAATGCTGTTTATTTTTGACTGAGAATTAGCAGAAAGCTTAGAGGAGGCCAAGCAGGGCTAAATTTTGTTATTTTATTTTATGCTAAACAAACTGAAAAGCATGCTTCTCTCTCTGCATAAATGTCAGTGGTGCTTAAAAAGTGATGCCCTTCCCCTGCCACCGTGGAAAGTGGCTGGTGGACTAACCCCACGATGAGATTTCAGAGGCCTGGACATTTCTCTTCCTGAATTTCTGTGACTAGGTGTACCCCCAGGGGATGCAGATGGGTTTGAACAGTGATGATCTGAAGTTTCTCGTCTGGTTTCAGAAAGGATGTGATTTAGCAACTGTCATCCTAAAAGGTGGGTTTACAGTCTTTGCTACTAATTCTTGTCCTTCACTGTTTCAGTGGAAGCCAAAGTTTCATGAGAAAGTCAAGGCCATTATGGTCTTGTGCTCTGTTTACCTTTCTTTCCCCCAGTTTTCTTGAGATGCATGAGGGAGAAGTACCTGTGTTGTTTCAAAGTCCTTAGAAGAAAACGAATTTGATCTCGTAATACTGTTGTTTCCGATGGAGATCGCTCATCACACTTAGAGTTTAAAAATGGTCAGCAGGAAATATATGATGTGGTCACACCTATTTATACACACGTGTGTGTGCGTGTGTGTATGTGTGTTTGAACATCCTCAAGGTCTATCCTCAAGGTCTCAAGAATGTGAGGGTAGATGCCTCCAAATACTCATTTTCACTACAACAAATCCATCAGCCTCCTTATCCTCTTAATGGAATGTGTTGTGCATTGCGGCCCTGGTAGAAGAGATTGGTGTCATTTTCTTTAGGAGAAGTGATATCCTGATACGGTCACTTGTTTTTGTTTTTGTTATATGTTAGTATAGCTATTGACGTATACTATAAGAAATCACAAACTGCTCTGGAACAAGAAAAGGAATTGTGATTTTTATAATAAGAAATGTGTATTTGGTCCCTGCTCCCCATTTCTGACACAGAGCTCCCCCATTTCTGACACACAGCTCCTAATCCGTGGGAACTTGCTGTGTGGCAGGGGTGTCTTGTGTTCTCACCAGGGGACTCTTTGGGGCTTGTGGTCACCAGAAAGAGCATTCTGTGATCAGAAGCCTTAATGTGGTCCTTCTGGAAGGGCACAGGACCTGGAGATGGAATTGATAATCAGCCATTCCTACTGGCTGTGGCCTCCATGGAATCCCCGAACTATAAATTCAGGGAGTTTCTGGCTGGTGGGACTTGGGAGGCTGAGGGGAGTGGTGTATGCGGGGGTGTGGGCACTTTGTGTGACTTTGTTCCTCTCCCCGTGTGCCTCTTCCTCTGCGCATCCATCTGTATCCTTTATTAGTCTAATGAACTGGTAAAAGCATTTCCTTGAGTTCTATGAGCCAGTCCATCCAGTTAACTGAGTCACAGGGTGGGGTCATGGAAGCCTCTAGTTTTTAGACAAGGCAAACAAAAAGGCAGGAGGAGCCAGCAAGCTTTGAATGGTGCAGATGTGGGTGGTGGGGCTGGGCGCTGGAGGTGTAGGCTGGGACTCCCTCCAGGTGGATGGTGTCAGTGCTGAGTGAAATTGTGGGATAGCCCGTGGGTGCCTACTGAAGAACTGACGTCTGCAGGGGAGAGGAGCATCCCAGCTCCTCTAAACACAGTAGGGTCTGGGGATGAGTGCAAGGATGTTACTGTCCCCACCTTGACAAAGCGTCTGCATTTCACTAATGACTTAGCTAGCTAATAGGGCTCTGGCTTGGTGTTGTTTGGTTTGAACCACGTCTCTTCAGTGTGTAAGTTCTTAGTGAACACTTACTACAGTGTGGCAGGCACTGTCTTGTGCTGGAATTTGCAGTGTACAAAGCACTGGTCCTCTCAGGGGATGTAGCCGTTGGAGATGAGTGAAGAAGTTTGTCTCACATGTGCACCACACCCCCCTTCCTCAGCTGATTCTCATTGGTAAAAACAAATACAATCTAATGTGGAGATGGAGAATGACATACAGAATAACCAGTGGGGCGGAATACGCACTAAGTATGTGAACTAAACACACACTTCGTGCATATTTGGTGAATTAAATGTGAATGCACATGGGGGCCGGGCACAGCACTGTAGCTCTGTGGCACAGCACTTACCTGTTGTGAGTTCAATTCTGGGCACAAAAAAAATAAGTAAGTAAAATAAAATATGCATGCTGAGGTGCTAAAAGTGTGTGGTGCTCTCCAAACACGCTAGCAGAATGGATGAAGAAGGGGGACGTAGGATACTGTCCCCTGCAAGGAGGCCTGGAGATCAGGTGACCAGGGTGGGTGGGAAAAAGGAAGGTCCAAGAGACCATGTTGGGGGAACAGGAATGGAGAGCTCTTGAGGGAGAAGGGATCACTGGTACCCAAGAGTTTGCTCCGGCCAAGAAAGCAGATGGCTAAATTTCTAGAAGTTATATGAGCTGTGTTCATTAGTATTGAAAATCAAATGATATAAACTCACACTGATCAGTTCTATTAAAAACCAAAGTGATGAATGAATCCATGGTTGGAATGGTTTAGCCATGGGATTGGCCAATATAAAGCGTTGGGCATGTTTCATTCGAGTGCTGATAGTTAAAATTTTCCAGGCAAACATGGGGGTGGACACAGAGGTAGAGAAAGACCTGGGAAGTCCCAGTGGACAGATGTCAGAAGCTGGCAGGACCTTGGAGAAGTGGGTTCCTCTCCACAATGAACAGGGCACTGAGTCGGCAATCGGTTTAGAGATGTTAGAAGTCTCAGGGAGCCGAGGCTTGCCTTGTGGTTCAGCCTGGCCTTGAACTCGCAGCAGTCCTGCTGCT